TATATATACTGTATTGATGATATCAGGAAAACGTACAGGCCTATTGATAATGATGACAAAGAGACATACAAGCTGATGACGAAAAGAAACTTAACTGATGCACACAAAATATATACTTATAATGAATGAAATTGTATTGATTGATGACGAAAAGATATACATACTGATGATGAAATAAACCTACACCTGTCGAAAAGAAATATCATTGATGACGTAAATTTCTATTGAGAACAATAAAGTAGTGTTCACTGATGAATGATATCACTGAATTTCGATGCTGAATATTAATATTACTACGCCCCCACACGTAAAATTCTAGCGCGGACACATTTTCTGTGAAGATATTAATATTGTACAATTTAGACCGTGAGTTTATTGAAGATATATTGGTTGTGTTGAGGTAAAAAAATGAGAGAAAATATCTTATTCAGGTTTAGTTATTAAAAAAATCTAATTCAAAAGAAATACGCTTAAGTTCACAAAGTCACCAATGAAAAGTCACTAGCAATAAATATTGAATTGAAAAATCATGTATTAATAATGTATTTTGTATATTTAAGGAAGTTAATAGTATTATTTGAAAATTAGAACGAAAATAAATTTTTTGTTGCATTTCGAAACATATTTTATATAGCATTTATTGTATCAAATGAATAACATTTTCGTTCTAATTATGTTCAAAATTATATTGTGCGTATGTGGTGTATATAATATATAATATATATATAATTGTATGTCTATATGGTTTCACCCAAAACATGTCCACAATAAATTATTTTAAATATTGAATCTTGACAAATAAAAAAAAATGTGGAAAAATCAACTCCCATAAGAAATCAAATTAAATTAAAATGTGTATTGCTCATTCAAAGTATCTAATATTGTAATAAAATCTCATCTAATAATGCATAGGCCTATATCGAAACAATAAGTTCTTAACTGGTTGACGAGAGAAATTATTTTCTGCTATAATTTTTCTTTTTCAATCTGAAAAGCTATTAACAATTACTTATTAAAATATATCCCTACATTTATTTTATTTTTATTTATATTATTTCATTTCACCCCAGGGGTTTAGCCCGAAAAACGAAATAGGCCGTCCAAAATGGATGCCAGTGGGCGTGGCACTGGGCCAATGGCCGGGCCACGCCCTTCTTTGGGAATCCCCACCGAACATTGGTACGAAAACAACGTACATTCAATCAATAAATGTTGTTTTTTTATCAAACTTAAATATGAATTAGCTTTAGTTTAACATTCGATAGATTTGAAGAATATAAAGAATTTGCTTAAGGTAGACCAGGCCCAATTAGGCTAGGTCGAACTGATTAGGCCAAGCCGTCCAAGCCGTCACGGTAAAAGTGGCCGTCCTAAATAATTTTAGGCCGTCCAAAAGACGGCCGGACGGCTCGCTGGCTAAGCCTATGTTTCACCCCCAACAGCGTAAACCCCAGTAGGGGGCATAGGGAGCATACAGTAAATACAATAAAAAAACACTATAAAAACATTCAAAAATATTGAAAAGATTAAAAAAGATGTAAAGATATTATTGGATTTTATTATTATAGTTTGAAGTATTGGCTCAACAATACACAGTACAAAATATTTATTGAAGGTTTGCATGGCGAGTATCAGTAACATAATCATAAAACTTTCTGTATACCACGTGTAAATAAAATATGGTTTTTGAGGTAAAACCACTGATTGGCTCCCTTGAAACAGTACACTTTTTTTTCGATTCGTATGAATGACATTGCGTAAGAAAAACATTTTTCTGTTTGAAAAGTTCTTGGGTACACGAAATCAGTTGAGCCTATGGCATCAGTTCGAGTTTCTATATAAAGAGTCATCATTATCGTTGCAAAGCACGTATGTCAATATATCTAGATAATATTTATTCTATAACGTCATCTGTATATTTTATCATAATGATCGATACATTTATCGAGGTTATAATCATGCTTGGCGGCGTACACACAAATGATAAGGCGTTCGCAGGCTCAGCGTTATTTCGTCTCCTGGAGCCCTCAATACAAATCGATGACTTTGTAGCTACGAGCATTGATCCTAGATCCAATATTTTCTTGGTGATAATCTAAATTAAAGTATGGGTTAGAGCGACAGTGAAGGAACGTCTTGCGCCTCTACCAGTAAAACGCGTAGATTATTTTCTTTTAATCTGAGGCACAATCTTCCAAAATGCCACAGAGAACGGACAGCGCATCCTCTATTGGATCCAACGCAAGCTCCCGTCGAAGCTCGGAATCCGATGATGAACGTCCCGATTCCGCAGGTTCCGACCAGTCGCGTGCAGAATCGGCGGATTCGAATGCAAGTGACGAAGAGGCCGAAAACGACCCATGCTTCACTAAAATAGGAGGTGTCGCCGTCTACTTTGAAGAACCATTTGACAAGAAATATGAGTGCGTTGCCTGCAACCAGATTCTACGATTTCCGGTACAGTTTGAGGAATGTGGACATAGATGCTGCTCGTCCTGTTTACCAGAACTTCTAAGGTAAGCGCAGACTATATTCTTTTTTTCCCCTTTATCCGAATCTAACAATATAAAGCCGGTCTCACACGTTGCGATTTTTTCTTACGACAAGCTGCGCTACGACACTCTTATTCTAAAATCATCTGATACGCGAAAGTTGGGGGCAAGGCGTGAGAGGTAATGTAACACGACACGGATATTCATATAGAAGTGTACGATATCGTATAATTTTGAAAAAAAATTATAGTGTGTCGTAGCGCAGCTTATCGTAAGAAAAATTGCAACGTGTGAGACTAACCATAGGTTAACATTATGTTGATAAATATAAGACCAAGTTTGGATTGGATCAGATTGGACCAAATTTTTTAATGCGTTACTAATTTATGTCAGTTAATAAAAATCATTAAAAGTCTGTGACGAAATGAAATTAGAATTGAATTCAATATTTGAGTTACTTATTCGTGTTGACCTCCTTAAGTATGTTAGTAGCATTAATAAAAATGAAGAGTAGAATGAGAAAAAAATAATTTATTATTTACGGACGTATAAATACTAAATTTGCTGTATTTTTGCATAGACCAGTAATCAATTTAAAGATTTTAGTAGGAAAACCAATTTAAAAAAATCACTGAAAGTTATTAATTTTTATTAAATAAATGAATAAGTTGTTATTTAATAGAATTTCTGATGCTCTCCCCATATTTCACTTAGGAATGCATGTCGCTACACAGTGATAGACCTATATCGTTTGGGCTTATTTGGGACAGTAAGATGAACGATGAATGAACCCGGTTATAAAATATAATACTTAAAACATCCCTATATCAAAAGTTTAATTGTTATTCTAACTCTAAGCATAAATAATTACAGGTATTTGTAATAATAGTAAACTCATCATTATACAAAAACTATAAATATAAGTAATTTCTGTCAAAATATATTAAATAATAATTTTATGAGATGATTTTCAAGACAAAGCGAATGCTGAAAGCCAGAATAATGATTTGTTTATACAGAATCAAAAGTCTTATAAATAAAATCATCCAATGTTGTTTTGAAAGTCGTTATTATTATCGTGTTATTGTCAGTCGGTAGCGTTTAAAGTTCACACAGAACTATATAAGAATTATAAACTCTTCCATACCTAAAACTTCGTTGTTATAGTTTTTTCTGCTTGTTTATATGCCTAATTTAAAACGACCTGTTATTATGGAACTGTCTTGGTTTTAATGCATTCAATAATGTAAATGTTTTATACTATATTTTTCTTTTCATCACTGAAACCGTAGCTACATCTTCCGCCCTGGGTAGGTACTAGCACAACCTGCCTGCGTTCAAATCTAATATTTATTGGATGGATGGCTGACCCCAATCCTCCCACAATGTGAGCAATTCAGCATGTTATACCTTTTGCACAACAATTTCTCAAGAAAATATTAAAATATGTAATTTAGTGCGCACTGTTGGTTGGACAACCCGGTCAAATTATCCCTCATCCCCCTCAGTGGCGTATCTAGGAGTCTTGAAATAGGGGGAGGGGATGATGGAGGGTTGAAGTTGAAGTGGGCTCGATGATTAGGTGAAGGGGAGCTAGGTCACGCAAAATAAAGGTGATTTGAGATTATTAACTAATTAAGAGTGACTTTTTGGGGAGACGGGGGGATGAGTATTTTATTTTTTTAGGGGGATGGCATGGGCCCACCCCTGTGCAACCTCCTAGATAAGCCACTGCCCTCTTACCATGTATGTTTTCCTTTAATTTGTCTACGGAAGTACAGCGTTGAAAAGTTGAGTAGTACGACCAGCGCGCCACCGCTACTTACAGCCTTAATTCGCGTGGGTCTGATTCTAATTCCTTACTCTGGGTTTCAGTTGCTGGACACAAGTCCTCTCGGATAACGAAAATCATAGGCCCAGTGTACATAAGCCTAACTGGCTTGTGTACACTTTAATCAAGCCCCCGAAAAGTAGGGTGTACCCCAGTGTAGGTGCATGCCCCTGTCGTTCTGAATAGACGAAAGTGTGCCTTTCGGGACTGATCGACATGATGTGACCATCATTGGGGAGATAAAGCTGTTGAATGAGTCCATACCCTATGCGCAAGCCTATGTTAAATTCTCTACTTTTACTATTGGTAAATTATTCACATTACACATGCAAAAAAGTGATAATTGTATTACTTACAATTATCCTTGTGTTGATGACGTCATCAAATGGAATTAATAATTATTACGATAACTAAATCGACGATTGAAAGATTATCACCGTTTTCAGTGGTCATAATTATGGTCATTATCCCAATGAATAAGAAACTATTGAGCTCTGCACAGTTAACCACTATTCTCTCACACACTCACGAAACGTATTGTTTTTGTCGACGTATTACCAGACATCACAGACGCTCACATAATACCCCAACCTCTCCTCACTCGAACACGCATCACACCGAGCGCATGGAAGCAGTGTGGAATATGCGAAGGCAACGCTCTGTGGCCTAAACAATCTAAACACAACACCCTGAAAGTAAAAAAGGTTTTTTAAGCCTGAATTTTTACTCACACATACATGCATGCATCGTATTTTAATATCTACAAGTGTATTATATTCAATGCAACATTTAAGCTTAGGCCTATATAATAATTTTACATCACATAGTAGTAGAATATTATATAAAGCCTGTATACGTAAATATAACATAACACATGCGTGTTTGAAACATTTGTGATTAAATAACTATACTGTCTCACATTATGTATACAACTCAAAGCTGTATTTTACTGCTGTCTACACAAAAGTAGGCCTATATAATAGATCCTTAATTGTTGGAAAGAGAAACTTTTTCTCGATATAATATTTACCAGAAACGTAATGACGTACTAAATCACAGGCCTCAACAAAATATTTTTTTTTCTAAAAATATACATGCAAACGAATAATTGTAATATTATAATATTAATAATAATTAATAATTAATTATAATTTAATATTATTTTTTGTTGTTTACTTTCGTAGAATTTCTCCAAAATGTCCACTTGATGAGAAATCAGTGTCACGTGACAAAGTGTACGTGGATACGTCATTTGGACGGGAGATCGGTGATCTACCGATTAAGTGCTACTTCCACAAGAAGGGCTGTGATTGGAAAGGTGTACTAGATGAATGCAAGGTAAGCCAGTTTCGGCTAAACTAACGACGTACGACGAATCCAACTCTGTCCCCTCTGAGCACTAGGCGGCGCCACGCTGTCTGCTGAGATTGTCGTTGGCAGTGGCAACGGATCGTCATTAAAAAACGATGATCCGTTGCGCACGCATCGTGGCATTGCGTTCTTCATAGAATCGCGTCGGCCGACCGTCGGCCGTCGGGGGCGCAGCGAGTGCCCGGCTTCACGTAAAGATAATAAATATTTGCCTAAGTTAGCGCACCGAATTTCGCGTGACACCACATTTAAGTCATTGGTAAGGAATACAATATAGCCGGTGTCTTTTCCAATTCACTATCAAAGGTCTTCGGACTTCGTGAATTAAATTTATTTAATCAGATAAACATATCTATAAAAAAAAAAACCCAACAATAGTAACAATATAACAAAAACAATTAAAAAAAAAAACCCATTGTATTAATGATGTGTTCTGTGTGATTTACAACCGTTTATAGGACCACAGCACAGTATGCAAATACATCGAAGTGGAATGTCCGAACACGTGCGGAGCCAAGTTCGAGAAAAGGTTCTTGGATTCGCACCTCTCCGACGAGTGCAACAAGCGAATGATCACGTGTGAGTTCTGCCAGAAGACAGTCTTCTACAAAGATGAAATCACTCATTTAAATTCCTGCCTGAAGTTCCCCGTTCCCTGTCCGAACGGATGCGACCTGACTGACATACCACGCGAAAAACTGAAGAATCACACGGACACAGACTGTCCAAAGGAGAAGATAGAATGTCCATTCTCATCGATGGGATGCGACTTCAAGGTAACGAACACCAAATAAAAACAAATCATAATAATTGGTGCTTTTTCTAAATGTTTACATGCACATTATTTGGTTGTGAATCGTAATGATAATAAGTAACAATAAGCAACAAAAATGGCCAGTATATTCTCTTGTGTGCTGAATCGATTTACATATGTCTTATAGATTAAGAAGACGTCCGACTACTGATGGCCTACTCCCAGTGGCGCATCTAAGGGGAAGAGTTCCTATAGGCCTACTACCCATTGGATCAGTCCCCGTCCCTCTATAATTTTAACATCTTTAGATACGCCACTGGACATACTAAACACGAATGAGAAAATCTAACGTTATAACCATTTGGCATTAAAATTTTAGACTGAGCGACAGAAGATGCAACGTCACGTCCAGGACGACTCCATGACGTCAAAACATGTGACCATGGTTGGAGCGACGATCGTTAAGCACCAGGCCACGCTGGACAAGCAAGTCGAACTGATGGACATTCACAAAGAGACCCTAGGCCAGTGCATGCAGAAAGTACGCGATCTGGAGAAGCTCTACGGATCTCAGTTGGTTTGGAAGGTGGACCGTTACGCAGAGAGGATGCAGGATGCAAAGACAGGCAAGAAGATCACGATCTTCAGCCCACCATTCCTGACCAGTCGCCATGGTTACAAGATGGCCGTTTCACTGTGTCTGAATGGAGATGGAAAAGGTAAATGCTACCACATCACTAATATAGGCCTACTGCCATTGCTGCTACTTTTGGCTACAGTGCAGATACTATCAAATACTGGCCACATATAATCACTTCAAGTTTTATTTGTATTTCGTTTTCAGCTAAGGGTCATTTCATGTCAGTGTTCATTTGCATCTGCCGTGGGGAATATGATGCCCTTGTGCCGTATCCCTTCACACATAGGGTCACATTTAGCCTCATCGACCAATGTCAAGATCCGAAAGCCAGACGTAACATTTCGTACAGCATCAAACCCAATCCGTGCAAGGAGAACAAGCCGTTTTTGGGAAGACCGCAGGGTGAGCGAAACGCCAGCTTTGGAACGCAGAAGTTTGTACCTTTGCACACTCTTAAGACACTTGACTACATCCGTGACGACACAATGTTTATCAAGGTTCACGTAGATCACGACGACAATATGTGTATTTAAGATCATAAACACGTCGAACCATGATTTTTTCTTAAAGGCCTTTCATACATCAGATTTCTGTTTTTAGGGTCATTGGCATTTTGTTTATACAGGTACTTCTCGATGTTATTTTAACAGAACTGTGAGACAACATGCTCGTAACCATTCACAACGTGTCTCCATATGTGAGAAGGTAGATGGGAGCTGTATAAAGGACGCTTTGGCACCCTGGTGAGGTCAAAGAGAAGAGCTCCTATAGGGTTTGGGGGTATATCCGTCCGGAGCTAATGTGTTCTGGCATTTAAGAATGCCTAGTGAATTTCATCATCTTGATGGTTTTGAATAAAAAGAGGGTTCGTCCGAACAATAGCACCTTTTCCCCTTACCGGTTAGGCCCGGACATACATCATCCGATCCGAATAATCGGTGAATAAAGTACTTTTAATAACGTAATTTAACAAATATTTGAAGCTTAAATAAATCACTCCTAGCCTATGATGTAAAACGATTTCTTGGAACAATCATAATACACTTGTCTGAATTATTTAATGCTTATGGCTAATTTTGGTATTTTTATTGAGAACGGACCGTAGTTTGTGTAAGAGAGGGGAAAGGGTGGTTGGTGATAATTGTTAGCAGGCGTTACAAATTCAAATGAACTGATGGAGTTAACACAATATGTCCATTGCATAGATAACTATTTTTATTGGTGGCAACAGTGGTCCGTGCTCGGAAGTGGCGTATGAGTGCCTGAGCAACCTATGTTTGTTCAAACGTGAAAAAGATCATAATGGAAGTAGGCCTACAGTAAATGGTAAACTCATTCCACTGAATTATCTTTCATATTAACTAGAATTTAATACTAAGCAGCACCTTCCGGTTCGAATATCATGGGTACGCCACTGGGGGTTGGGGTTCTGGTTGGTGCGTGGAGTAAGAAAAAGTGTCTTAAATTCAATCAATTGTGTTAGTAAATTACAGTGAGTGTTGGTACACTTCTTTAAGTTTAGAAATTTTACTCACTAGAAAAGTGTGCGTGCCGGATAAGTCTGCGCTATAGGCCTATGATGCCATTATACCATGTTCTATGGTTTTCATAAAATTCACTTAATATTATTGCCTTTGAACACGTTTGTCGTGTTTTAATCACTTTACCCGCACGATCTCGTTCAATACCGCCTCTAGATGTATAATCGATATAACTTCTTATTGATTTAGATCATGTAATAAACGACGGAATATACCGTTAAGAATATTAGCTAAGAATTGACAAATCGTTATATCAAACAATGTTTTCTAATTCTCTGGCGTCTGTACGTGTATAACTTATGCTGGTCATTTTTTATATCTCGCTTACTATTACCTACGGGTGATTATAACAGACTTATATATGCAGCTTTCTCGTACGGTACATTGTGATAGTAATACATAAGCAATTTTCGTCATATGCATTAGCAAGATAAGAATACCTCCATAAGGGTTTTTGTTGAATTACAAACTATTAAAGACGTACATCGCATAATAATACAGTGCACATATTTTTTTTTAAAGAAAAAATACAGAATATTATGTTATGTCTATATTTACATATTATTTAAAAATGTGTCTGTACAGTGACGGTTGCGATGCACATATTGTTTTCGCGTCCAATATATTAATTGCACTGTTATCATCTTAACGCTTGATAAACAAATAGATAAATAATAACAGTGCGCGGTTATTGATTGTAGAGTTCTTAATTTTAAAACCAAGTAACAAATATAAACGTATTGTTACATTTCGTTTCAACAATCAATACTTGCTTTTCAACCTAATGAAATTATCCGAAGTGCTAGAATAGGAACCAGTGTCTCTTGCTGTATATATATAT